CTCCGCTCTCTCCCTCTCCCGCAGCTCCTCCGGCGCCAGCGTGGTCGCTATCGACAACAAGATCGAGCAGGCGATGGTAGGTGCCGCGGGCAGCGCCCTCCGCCGCGGGCGGGTGGGTTTTCCCCCTTTTCCCTCATGGGGAGGGTGTGTGTGTGTGGGGGGGGGTCAGTGTTTTGAGGCGCGCTCTTCATTTTTCCCGGTTTCGAGGCGTGTTTGGCAGCGCGGCGCCCGCGCCCGCCCCGCGGGGCCGCCCGGCGCCCGTTTCCGCCCGGCCGCCCTTTGTTGCGGCGCCGCTCGCCCGCTCTCCCGGGAGCCCCTGCCCGCTGTTGCTAGGCAAACTGCGAACCTTTAACTCCCGGCTATAAATAGCGCGGCCGCTCATTGGCCGCCCGGGCGCGGCGCTCTGACGTCAGCCGCGGCCGCGGCCGGACGGCGGCGGGGAGGGAAATGCGGCACAAGCTGCGCCCGCGACTGGATGCAGCCGGAGCGCGGGGGGGCGGGGCCTGGGCCCGGGGGGCGGGGCCTGCGGGGCGCGGGGGCGGGGCTAGGCGCCCGGGGGGCGGGGCCTGCGGGGCGCGGGAACTGCACGTGTGCGGGGCAGGGGGACGGGGATAGGGATGGAGACGGGAATGGGGATGGAGATGGGAATGGGGATCCCGGTGCCGCTGCCTGGGCTCCTGCCCGAGCTGGGCGCCCCGGTGCCCTTGTCTCACGCGTGTGCCGCCCCCCGTGCCTTGCAGGACCTGGTGAAGAGCCACCTGATGTACGCGGTGCGGGAGGAGGTGGAGGTCCTCAAGGAGCAGATCAAGGAGCTCATAGAGAAGAACTCGCAGCTGGAGCAGGAGAACACGCTGCTAAAGACGCTGGCCAGCCCCGAGCAGCTCGCGCAGTTCCAGGCGCAGCTGCAGACTGGTTCCCCGCCGGGCTCGTCGGCACCGCCGCCCGGCTCGTCGGCGCCGCAGCCCGCGCAGCCCGCGGCCCAGGGCTCGGGGCCCTCCGCGTAGCGCCCCGCGGCGCCCCGGAGCCAGCAGGACTAGCGGGAACGTGGCACGCATCCCGCATCCACCGCCGCAACCCGGAGCCAGCACTGCTGCGTTACGTCACCGTGAGAGGCTTTCTTCCTTTCCGTTCCTGTTCCGGTTTTTTCTTCTTATTATTTTTTTATTCCCCGGTGTCACGCACTCATCTGCCTCTCTCTACCCACCCTTCCCTCTTCGGCGTGAAGGAGTCTTTGTCCTTAGGCTGATTTAATAAATAAACTTCTTCCAGGAAATCAGCACAAGCACACTGGGGACTCGAGCAGCCTCGGCAACGACTGAGAAATGGAGCTGCGTCTCTGAATCATTATTGCTTTTTGTTCTTTTTTTTTTTTTTTCCTGCTGTTTTATTTTTAAATCTTCCACTCATCCAGTGATGTAACTGATCCAAGTGCTTTTCAAGCGTGGAAACGTGGAGAAATAGACTGGAGTAAAAAGCGATGGCTCAATCCCCCCGTAGTGCCCTGGGGTTCCCAAGGGAGCACTGGTGCATAGGACCTCAGAGGAAGAGGGAGGAAGGTAAATCCAGTGTTTAACACTTAACTGTCACCTGAAACCTTAAGTGCAAATAAGTTTGCACCGTTTTCTGACGCAGCGGACAGGTGCATAAAGCTGTATTATATAGAGAGAGCAGGTAGGTGACGAGTAGTTGGGTCATAGGTAACTGCAATGAAGGTTATTTGCCTACTGTATATTTGTGTATTTAGTGTAATTACTTTGTAAAATAGAAAACTGTAACTATTTAGGTTGTACAGATTGAAGTTTAGTTGTTTCATTGGCTGATCTGAAGAGGTTTGGAAAGTCTCTTTTTTTTGTTTTTGTTTTTTTTTTTTTTAAAGGCTACATAAATAAGAATGCACCTACGCAACTGTTCAGAATTTGGCAGATTTATGCTGTTTGTGTAACTCTGAATTTCCCTGGCTGCTGATTATCTTGAAGTAAATCTTTGTTCATTGTAGTTTGGTCTAAGACAGAGGAAAAAAAAAAGAAAAAAGAAAAAAAAAAAAACCACACTCCAAAAATTAT